TTTTAAAAATTTTAGAATAATTTTTTACATAAGTGGTGAATTTGTCATCAAATCGATATTTTTTTTGATCGTATAAATCAAACAAAATATTTCTACTTTTAAGTATTCCTACTGTTGCCCATTCCGTGAATTTAGATTTAACATGAACTTCTTTTTTCTTGAAAAATTGTTCATATTCTCCGGATAAAATATTAATTAGCTTGGTGTAAAGATAATCAGGATTATTACTAGATTGTAACAGCAAATCCAATTTATTTTTAATCGCGCTTTTGTATTTATTAATATTGTAAACGTTTATTTGTCTTTTTGATTTTTTATTATTGTTGACTTTATTGATTTGACTGCTAAACTTAACAACTTGACCACAGTGATCTGAAGGAAGTTTATTTATTATGAATTTTTCTGTATACTCGCAGTTACAAAAAACATTGTCAAGACAAGTAGCAGACGTGGCAGTTACACGAGTGGGTTCATGAAAGACATGACATAAATCAAATGACTGAAATAAACTAATAATTTTTGTACATGTGGGTGTGTTACAAAGAATATCAACGTTAAAATCTCCACATACAATAATTTTTTTAATACTATTAAATACTTTTTTTAAAATATCCTCCATCACCCCTTCAAAAACATTGTAATCACTATTAGGAGGCCTGTACACACATATAAGGATATAATTTTCTAGTTCTATACAAGATAATTCTATACAACACTCAATAGAAAGTCTAACAATGTCAGCACGTTCCTTTACTTTAATATTATTTCTTGCAATTATCATAGACCCGCCTCTGTTAACTGACTTTCTATTGAAGCAGCTGACAACGTTATAATTATTTAAATTGAACATCATATTGCTTTCTTTAAGCCAATGTTCTGTGAAACAGACAATATCAATATTATACTTTTCTAAAAATAATTGTATAATTAACTCACTGCCGGGAAAACTTTGTATGTTCTGATGAACAATTATTAATTCTGATTGCTTTCCCTTTGTCTTTGTGAGCAGTTTAAATCTGCAGTCATAGTACTTATGTCACAAATATTAATAGAATTATCTGTTATGTCAGCATTTTTATGTTTAAGTTTACCATGTAAACTGTTCATGTAGTCAATATTATAAGCCACTAAAGTGGCTATTTTATTTTTAGATGATTTAGAAAGATACATTGTATCTTTTGTCAAATAAAAATCACTAATAAAACTATTAGTATCAAAAAATGTCAAAATGTCACTATGACGACATGTCAATGTATGTAATAAGTTATTCAGGTAATGTACCTTACTGTTAATTTTTTTTGTGAAGATGTCTATTTGTGTAAGGAAAAGCGCACAATACAATCTTATACACATTTAATTGTAATAAATATTCAATTCCTTTAATTACATCCTGCCTATTTAATTGAATACTATTACCAAAAAATAACACAATTGTGGTCATATTGTTCATTTTCGTAGACTTAATTTTATTTATTATTTGTGTAAATGATGCTTCTGGCATGCAGTAGTTTAATAAATCACCCTTAAGATGATACTTCAATATAGACCCAAAGTTACAGCCTATTCTGTCAGAGAACACCATTGTGCTACTCTTAGGGTTACAGTCACTGGCACAAACACCCTGAACTTCATTTTCCAGCACAGTTACAACTGAATTATTATTTGATATATTTGTGTGATTACATGTACAATGCTTAGTCAACGACTCAAAACGGTCAGCATTGTATTTACTGACATCAATCAGATCATCCATTGCTAAAATATGCTCCTGGATTTGTTTCTGAGAGATAATATACTTTGTATTTAAATCATGAAGCGAAGATTCTAAACTATTGATTTTTGAAGTTAGGTAGTCTGTATCAATGTCATATAACTTTTGGCTTTCCACTAACTTATTATTACACTTATTAATGTAATCATGCAATTTTAAATTATTCAAAGTGGTTTTGAGTGTCGTAAGAGGCAACTAAACACTTAATGAAAAGAATTAATAAACGTTATCACTTTTCAATAATTGTCCCTTTTTGCAACGCTTATTTAATATATTCCGATTCTTAATTATAAACTTTTTTAGTTTTAAATATTTTTTAAATTTATTATTACTCAACATACAAATATTACTGTTATAGTTGCCTAATTTAGGTGATGTATCACTAGTAAGGTCAATTACAACAGGATGGGTGCATGGAACTGTAGTAGAAGGAGGCACACAGTCAACACTAATAAGTTCCTCATATAAATTACTAATCTCATTACTTTGTCGAGATTCCAATCTTGTGTCTAGATCATTGATTTTAGAATATGCCTGCTTTAACTCAAGTTCCAATTCAGTGATACGCCTCAAGGCTTGCTCATGAGTGTCACTACATTGATGAAAGCTACTTATTAGTTCTTGAAGCTGATCCCGCTGCTCAATAACTTCCTGATGGCTATTATGAAGTTCTGACAATTCTGATTTTAATTGGGTATTTTTATTTATAATTTTTAAAATTTCATCTTCACTCTCTTCTCTCTCCCTGATCAACTTGTCACTGAGATCTTTGGATGCCTGAAGTTCTTGTAGGGCCACTTTAAGCTTCATCTCTGTCTGCCGTGCAGTTGTGCAACGGGTAGATAGTGACATTATTGAATATATGAATAGTTACTAGGGAGAGTGAAGTGAGTTATTTCTAAAAAAAGTATCACAACGAGAACAGCAACTGAACCTTACTTATTTTATGTGTTAAAATTTTGAATAATTTTTGTTAGGTATATTTATACGACCTATATTTTACAAGATTAAGTAAATGGAATTAGATTGTGCTCCTTTCCTTCAAATTACATTAATATAAAACATAAAATTACTTACAATATATTTTGTGGGTATATTTTTTCCTTCGACGTACGCAACAACTGAACTTCACAATTATTAATATCAATTTAACTTGATGTGAATATTTTCTATAAAACTTGTATATATTATGAAATTCTTTGAATAAGTCCAACAAATAGTTATAAAATAGTTTTAAAATTAGTTGTTTACCAACGAAAGAAGTTTGACAGATGGCCGGTGCACTATTTTAATGTCGATTTTTGCAAATAATACACTACCAAATTGTACACAAACAACAATCGACACTTATTGCACTATTATATCACTAATAACGATGTCGAAAATATAATATTCGTGTGATAGACTATTAAAAATTATTTATTTATTACGGCCAGCTGAAAATGACAACTGTCGTTGGTGTTGCTAGTCGAAGAAAAAACTTCGAAGAAAAAGCTTCTGCTTCTGCTTCTGCTTCTGCTTCTGCTTCTGCTTCTGCTGCTGCTGCTGCTTCTGCTTCTGCTTCTGCTTCTGCTTCTGCTTCTGCTTCTGCTTCTGCTGCTGCTTCTGCTTCTGCTTCTGCTTCTGCTTCTGCTTCTGCTTCTGCTTCTGCTTCTGCTTCTGCTTCTGCGTCTGCGTCTGCGTCTGCGTCTGCGTCTGCGTCTGCGTCTGCGTCTGCGTCTGCGTCTGCGTCTGCGTCTGCGTCTGCGTCTGCGTCTGCGTCTGCGTCTGCGTCTGCGTCTGCTTGTGCTTGTGCTTGTGCTTGTGCTTGTGCTTGTGCTTGTGCTTGTGCTTGTGCTTGTGCTTGTGCTTGTGCTTGTGCTTGTGCTTGTGCTTGTGCTTGTGCTTGTGCTTGTGCTTGTGCTTGTGCTTGTGCTTGTGCTTGTGCTTGTGCTTGTGCTTGTGCTTGTGCTTGTGCTTGTGCTTGTGCTTGTGCTTGTGCTTGTGCTTGTGCTTGTGCTTGTGCTTGTGCTTGTGCTTGTGCTTGTGCTTGTGCTTGTGCTTGTGCTTGTGCTTGTGCTTGTGCTTGTGCTTGTGGTTCTAGTTGTAGTTCGAGTTCGAGTTCGAGTTCGAGTTCGAGTTTGAGTTCGAGTTCGAGTTCGAGTTGGAGTTGGAGTTGGTGTTGGAGTTCGAATTCAAATTTATATTCAAATTCTAATTTTAATTCTAATTCTAATATGGGTACATACATTAGATGAAAATAATAATAAGTCAGTGGGGGGAAAGGGATTGTTAGTAATGGAGACCATTGCTAGCAATGGGTATATTGCTAGCAATGGTCGACGACAACTAGGTCGACCTCCCCGCGGTTCAGTTCGGTCAACTATCATGGTTAATTCCAGATGAATTCATCATGATGGGCTAACTGGCCTGTTTTCAGTCTCATCTATCACCCTCCACTGGTGCTCCGCCAGCGTATTCCATTAGCGCAGGCGGGATTACCATACCATTTTCACCCATCAAAAAAAACTGAAGTCAGTTTTTTTGTGGGACACAGTCTTTAATCTGTCAGAGGGTAAACGATTACCATGTTAAATTAGCTTAATTTGAATTCTCTTTTTTGGACCTTGGAATGGCAAAAACAACAACGGCTCATCTGAAAGAACAACCAGTTGTTGACAGAAGAAAAAAATAATAGGATAGAGGGTACCTAAACAGATTACATCTTTTTAATCTCCAGTTATTGAAATTACTACCTACGACACTGACAATAAATATTTTAATGTAATAATTTATTTTTATTATTACATTAAAATATTTATTTTAATGTAATAGATCGAAAAACTTCGACTAGTTTCAGGATGAATTCGTGATTCTTAGTCGTAAGCAGCTATGACGCGAACGCAAGTCTGTTCGTCTCAGTCCGCTGAGGGCGAGCTGTAGACGCTCGTGGCGTCACAGATAAGAAAGACAGCTCTTCGGGTGTGAACTCGGGTCTCCGTAGTCTTTCTCTTCATCTTCCGTGTTATTGCTACTGGTTGTGTTGGTAAGCCGTCGTGTACAAACTACGTCACAGTCGCTCATGATTAAGGATCACGAATTGATTCCGAAACTAGTAGAGATTTTTCGGTCTAATAACACATAAGTTAAACCTGTAGTAATTACATTAAAATATAATGTGTGCTTACGGAACTTAACAATAAAATTGAGAATAAAGTTAAAAATAAATAATAAACGATTATGTGATCACCTTAGGTGGTATTATGAGGTACGTTTCCACTTTATGATCGGCCAGGTATCCTTCTCTGGACGCCCCGTCGCCAGGTTCCACCTCGAATCTGCCCCCAAGCTGGTGTAGTGTAGCTTTGGTTATATGGACACGACTGAAAAAGAAAAAATATTTAGAGACAAATTTCGAAAATCAAAAATGTTGCTAATATTATTTTCACCAAGTTGCCGTGTGGTCCCAGCATAGAACAGACTACTACCCTCTCGTTACCCTTAAGTGTCGTAAGAGGCAACTAGGAATACTTAATGAAAAGAATTAATTAAAGCCTAACTGCGTTTGCCAACCTACCTGCCAGGCGTGGCAATTACTGGCAAAACCCTTCTTATAAAGAAAGCCTGAATATATTATCCTTTAACTGTCCACTGCTGAACATAAACCTCCCCCTTAGGGGGTTTTGCCAGTAGTTGTCACGTTTGACAGGCGGATTGGCAACCGCAGTGTGGCTTTGGAAATGTTTTAAGAGGGACGCTGCTACCCATCCCTCGCCATGTCTTAGTCGTCTCTTACGACACCCACGAGAAAGGATGTGGTGGCTTATTCTATGCCGGGACCACACGGTTTGATATGATATATCATCTTTTGATGATTAAATGATCATGTCATGTGTCATCAAGAAGTGTTCTGTTTCATTGGTTTATCTATTTTTGAAATCTAATAATAAAAGTTATATAATACCTAAATTGTTTGAGTTCTTCATCTCACTAAACACTTTATTAAACATTCACCGCTCTAATTAATGTCTGCTTATAAAATTTTATAACGATTTCTCAGCTACATGAATAATATGGAAGAAAAAGAATTGAATTAATATGATTAATTTATTTTTCATTGGTTTTACTTCAGCTCCTAATTTGAATTTCCAATAATTTAATTAGTATTTTTCCTATATATTAGAAAGGCAATTTGTCTCGATTAATTATATGTTACTGGTGATAATATTTTTTTATTTATTTATTTAACTGATATACTATTTAAATATGTTTTACTAACTTTTAAAGAATGGAAGTATGAGGTGGAAACCTCTGGCGACTATACTTTGATCAACGGATCTAACATAACATATTCAGCGTGGAAATGCAGCAAGTCTCCTAGGTACCCTACCAGTTGGCAGTGATCTCAAAGAAATTTTTATTCTTCTTTATGTATTTTTATTCTTTACTGTACATAGATGTAAGGTGTGTATATAATAGATAAATTATATTTTTTACAAATTTGTATATTATATATATAACATTTACATTATAAACAAAGAAAGGAGGTTATATTATTATATTATATTATTACTAATAAATTAATTTATTTACATGTAATGAAGCAAAATAAATTTATTTTATTCACTAACATTTTAAATTATATTAAATAATAAAAAAAAATCTTAAAAAGTTGTCTGAAAGAGATTGCTTAGCTATAAGACCGCCTTTCGTACTACACTACGCTTATTAAAAATTCTTCAACAAGTCCTGTTATATTGGTGCAATAAAGTGCTAAATAAAATAAATATTAGGTACATAGACAAGCGAGAAGCGAGAAGCTGAAGACCGTCCAAAATGGAATCACATCATAAGAGAGGCTACAGACACTTTTTAAGGACACGACCTTCAGTAATGAAGAGAACGAAGAGAGAGAGACATAGACAAGAGATAATTACGTAATAAAACACCAAATTCACAGAAGAGTCAATAACATGAGTATACGTGAATAAGTGAGGATATAGTTTATTCATTTCATATTACCTCATGTGAGGTAATTATTCAGTAATTTTCTTAAATAAATATTCATGTACCTATTACGTTTTCCCGTACAAATTCGGTCCAGAATGCGAGATCAAATAACAGAATCGGTAGAACAAAACCTCGGGGGACAGCAAATCTAATGAATATTAATAAATAATATATTAAATTTAGTATATAATAAATTTATAACTAGACAATCCCATGTGGTTCCAGCATAGAATAAGCCGCCCCTTCATGGGAGCAAGGGATGGACAGCAACATTTCTTTTAATACATCTCCAAAGCCTAACTATGACAAACGAACGACAAAGTGGCATTATAAGGGTTCCTTTGTACCTTTACAGTGCGTAACCCTATAAATGATGATGGATGATGAAAAATCATTATTATTTTATGTATGCTCATAATTATTTATGACAAGCTACCCACTCATCATCATCATCATCATTTCAGCCATTATCCGTCCACTGCTGGACATAAGCCTCCCCATAGACTGCCATAAAGAACGGTCCTGAGCCACCTGCATCCACTGACTCCCTGCAATGCATTTCAGGTCGTCACTCCATCTAGTGGGGGATCGTCTTACACTTCATTTACCCGTACACGGTCGCCACTCAAGAACCTTTCTTCCCCATCAGTTGTCGGTTTTTCGAGCTATGTGACCAGCCCATTGCCACTTCAGCATGCTTATCCTGAAAAATAAGCAGCCTGAAGGCTATGTCGGTTATTTTGGTTCTTTTGCGGATATTCTCGTTCCTAAGCGTCCCACTCGTCGTGTATGAATCATAAAATCATATACACGCTGACTCACCCAGCGATACCGCCAGACTCCATGTGGTTGGCGAGCGTGACGTCATCACTCCATACGTCAAACTGCCATTTCCGTAGGCCGAGAACGCCGCACAGCACGTTCCCCGTATGGATCCCAATACGCATGTCCACATTGAAGCCAGTCGCCTCGCGGACAAACCTGTATAGAGGCAGCCAATTAAATGTATTCGTAACTAGCGATCAACCCGACTTCGCACGAGTTGACAGAATTTTCAAAAATCAATACATATAATAAAAAAAAGTTTCAGCCAATTCGACTGATCGATTATTTTATAGCATTTTATATGTATTTTTTTCTCCTTTTTTATCCTAAAGGGTACATTTACAGATTAGTCCCATAATTTTATTTATCAAAATTGGTTCAGTAATTTTCGAATTAAAATAACTCGTTTTATCACAACTGAAAACAGTATTTTTGGGATCACAATTTTTTTTATCTGTTGCAGATACTGTTTTTCGTTGCGAAGCAAAAAATTGCGTGTTGCGAAACAAACAAATTTTCTATTACAAATGAAGGTTACCGTTTCATTTGCACCAATTAAAAAAGAACTTAGTACCTTATAGCATCGATCATTTGTAGGCCCATAGTGACGCAATTGTATGCGTGGTTAGGTCGTGAAATTGGCAAGCCTGATACACAGTAATAGCAGTCGCCTAGGATCTTGATGCGCATGCATTGATTTTCCTGTGAACAAATAGACAACGTTTTTATTAGGTTTTTTTTTAAACACAGGGGCAAACGAGTATGCGGCCCATCCGATGGTGAGTGACTACCGCCGCCCATGATCACCCACTAAAACCAACGGCATTGTGTTGCCGGCATTTTAAAAAGGAATATGCTCTTTTCTTGGAGGTTATGATGTCGTATCGGTTCGGAAATACTGCTGCTGGAAATTGATTCCAAAGAGCGGTTGTGCGTGGAAGAAAGTGCCTTGAAAAATGCACGGTGAAAACCCGCCACACGGTTACTTAAAACTAGCTATTTGCCGTGGCTTTGCCTACTTAAATATCTAATAAAAAGTATCCTAAATGTAAAATTAGGATATATCAGTGTACCAAATATAAAATCGGTCATATGAAAGACGTTTATGAGAAAATTTATATTGTTAACATGGCAAAAAAAAAAAACATTTTGTACCATTTCAATTTTATCACAATAAAACTTATAGAAAGGATTCCATATGGTTACAGCATATTCAATTTTTTTTTATACAACTTAGAATGGCAAACAAGATGACGGCTCATCTGATGGATGGCCCATGATACCCCCCCCCCCACCATACGTTGCCATTCCTGAAGACTCAGGTGTTATTCCTCTGTACCCTATAAATTTATGTCATATCCCACCCTTCAAACCGAAACACAGCTATGCAAACACAACTGCTTCACGGTTGAAACACGAATGGTACAGAGGTACCCATGTAATCGATTTTTGTACAAAGTCTCCCTCTGGTGAAATCTTGTGAATCAAGCACAAGTCTAGTATCCAATATGAGACCTAAATCTTTAGTCTTTTGTAATTTTATTTTATTCTACGCTTAATTAATTATTAATTAATATAGAATGCAATCAAGCATTAAATCCATTCTGCGTATAATTTATATATTATGTATGTAAAACAATAAATATAAACATGTACATGAATTATATAAACACAATAAGGGGCGACTACCGCGAAACAAACCCTAAAGTCAAAGTTTATTTAGTTTGCTTTTGTTCCGTAGGCGACCCTAATTGCATTTGATATAGTTCACTAGTTTTGCACACAAAGGGTTGGCATTCGCATCAATCATTCGGTTCTCTCGAGTTTTATCGATTGCAAACTATCAATCTATTCTGTCGATGAAATAAACTCTTAAGCTTCTCCAAAAAGGAGAGGATACTAAATTCAGCTGTATTTGTTTGTAAGGCAATACTTTAAAGTTTTTCAGATTGTTATTTTTTTCCAATCTACAAGATTTTCGTATTTAATAGTGTTAATCACTTTTTAGCTTACCGAAGTATCTTTGGAACCAAACCTTAGACTTCACTCTAAACTTTCATAAACAATTGAAGATTTTTTAAATGTTTCTGATTGATTATTTGAAAAATGCTCTATTAGAAATAAAGAAACAAGAAAAGAAAGCAAGAAGGAAAGAAAAAGAAAGAAATAAAGGAAAGAAAAAGAAAGAAAGGAAGGAAGGAAGAAATAAAAAAGAAAAAAAATGCAATTTGTGACAACAAATTGCATTTACAAAATGAAACAAAATAAAAAGATAATAATATTTATATAAGCACACTAAAACATCAATCATAGTGTATATTGCATGTAAATCTACCACTAAGGACTTTGCACCTACTTCATATTTTGCTTAGGAATTTTTAAATAAAATTTTTGCTATCAAAATCCAAATTTTTAGCAACAACTTAATAAAAATATTAGATAGATAGATAGATACATACTCTTTATTGTTTCCTCCAAAAGCTTACAATAGTAAACCTATTATAAATATAAATAATTACAAGAAATGATCACAATGAGAAAACAATGGGCGGCCTTATCGCTAAGAGCGATCTCTTGCAGGCAACCTTTGGATGGAGAGGAGTAATTATAATTATTTGGTGGGAGGCACGATGAAAAATTTTGTTAGTTCTAAATATGGGAGATGTGATACATATAATAATATAAATATTATCGCTACTCATTATTATATTTATATTATTGCACAATTAAAGCTATCAGGAAACTTTTTAAATAATCAGTAGAAAATATTGAAAATTGTTAAATTATTTTAACCGTTAATTCTCCAATGCTGAACCTATAGACCGCCAGTAGTTACGCCAGTAGTTACCACGCTTGGCAATCACAGTTAAGCTTTGGTGATGTATTTTTTTTGTTGATTGGTGAAAATGGTATGGTAACCCCGCCTGCGCTAACGGCATACGCTGGCGAAGCACCAGTGAAGGGTGATAGATGAGAATGAAAGCAGGCCAGTTAGCCCATCATGATGAATTCATCAGGAATTAACCATGATAGTTTCCAGGGAGAACCGCGAGGAGTTGAATCTGGTTGAGTATATTGCTAGCAATGGGATTCTCAGTCTCTATTACTAACAATCTTGGTGATGTATTAAGAAGGACGCTGCTGCCCATTCCTTGACTATCAAGCTCCTTAGTCGCCTCTTACGACACCCACGGGAAAGGAAGTGATGGCCCATTGTATACCGCGACCATACGGTTTTTTTTTTTTTATTTATAAATATTTAAAGTTAATTACGACATTTTCACACTTCAGTAAGCTAAATTTATAAACTATAGTAATGAAATTTGAATATTTGAACACGAAAGTTTAAAGTTAACTAAAGCTATGAACACTTTTTATGTTAATTAGTTATGAATTTAGATTTTTTTTCAGACTAAATTCTTCAAGTTTGATGAATTTAGCTATACGTACTCGTATAAAATAAGACCAGAACGGTAATTAATTTTCTACTTATTTTCTAGTTCTTAATTTCCTTTTTTTTTTGGAATCCTTAAAAAATAAAAATTTTAATTAATATTTTTATTTTATTTTTTTATTATAATTTATATTTTTATTTTTTTACTTTATACTACGACTTTTATTTTATTACTACCACTGACTGATTTGTCCCTATGTCGACTCCTATAATATTCTGAATATAAACAGGAATGATAGTTCTTTTTTTTTTGTCATTACGCAGAAAGGATTCAGGATACATATCTGATTCTATTTCGTATCCCTATTTTTTTTGTTCTATCAAAGTGGCAAACAAGCATACGGCCCAACTGATGGTAACTGGTTACCATAACTTACGAAGCCTGCAATACTAGGGGTATTACGAGTGCGTTGCCGACCCTGAAGAAACCTCTTTACCCCCCTTTTGAAAAACCCCATACTGTAGTCTCTTGGAAAAACGTCGGCAGAGAGCTTATTCCATAACCTGAATTTTTGTGGGAGAAAACATATCTGAAACCCTATCCTTGAAATTCTTGAGAAAGATAAATAGGTAGATAGATAATTTAATTGTATTGTTTTAATGGATGATAATGGAATGGTAACCCCGCCTGCGCTATCCGTATACGCTGGTGGAGCTCCAGTGATGGATGATAGGCGATGATGAAAGCAGGTCAGTTAGCCCATCATGATGAATTCATCAGGAATTAACCATGACAGTTTCCAGGGGGAACCGCGAGGAGGTCGACCTGGTTGGGTATATTGGTAGCAATGCGATTCTTAGTCGCCATTACTAACAATCCCTTTCCCCCCAAAACTATGTGAAATGTGTGAATATTTAAATGACTATATAATAATTAAAGTTTAACCCTAAGCTGCGTGTAAACTACCTTCCCCTTGTTTATTAGACTATAATAGTACCAGTAAAAGCCCATAAAGTGTTTACGCGCATGCAAGCTACGTAATTATGAACGTACAGTGTTCCGTATGTACCTACTCGTAAGTCCCTCAGGCAAGTTATGCAGTGTTTATTCTGTTATTCAAATACGTCGCGGTACAACGTGTTTGTTATAAATATTAATACAATATTAAATTTGCCGTACGGTCCCGGTATGGAATGAACACACCTTCCGTTCCTGTAAGTGGCATAAGAGAACTTAATATTAGAAGGATAGGCAGCAGCGTCCTTCTTAAAACATCGCAAAAGCTCCAACTGCGGTTATCAACCCACCTGCCAAGTTTTTTTATTTTATACAACTTAGAATGGCGAACAAGTTGACGGCCCACCTGATGGAAAGTGGTAACCGTCGCCTATAGACATGAGCAGTACCATGGACATAACAGAGTATACTGTTTCGCCCATGATACTCCCCATGCGTTGCCATTCCTGGGACTCAGTTGTTATTCCACTGTACCCTGTAAATTCACGCCATATTCCACCCTTCAAACCGAAACACAGCCATGCAAACACAACTGCTTCACGGTAGAAACACGGATGGGACAGAATATAAGCTAAGCAATCGACTTTTGTACAAAGTCTCCCTCTGATAAAATTATGGCAACTACTGGCAAAATCCTCCAGTGATAAACTGCACATAAGGAATACTCCCGTTCCAAGTCGGGGAAGGCCTATGTTTAGCAGTGAATAAATAACAGCTGAAATGCCAACCAACCACTGGTGAAATAAGAAATAAATAAATACTTAATGGGCTTTAAAAATTCTTTTAAATTTTATTAAAATAGGCTATAATATTAATATTTTATCTATCTGTGTGAAGTTAGGCTAGATAACTAGTAACGGGGAAGCCCAAACTACATTTAATTAATTTTAAAATTTCATTTATTTATAGAAAGCTACAATAACAGTGAATTTATCTTTCTACCACTCTACACGTGTGAAATCGGGGCAAGTTGATAGTTTTTAATATATACCATCCTCTGACTATAAAGAACGTCGCTCCTCTATTATCTAGAGTTACTACAAAATGTTCTCTTATATTCTTCTGGATTTTATTACCCATTTCTAAAATTAGCTGAACAAGTTGACGTTATGATATTTTTAATGAGGAAACTCTTTTATTTTAAATATATTTTTATTAGTTTACAACTAACTTCAAAAAGAGGTTAGTATACATTGAAATGTATATGGGATCCTTATAATTACATTTTCTACGTGCTATTTAAAAAAAAAAAAACAAATTTTACAAACAATTAAAAACTAACAAATTAACACGAGTAGGATAGAGGTACCCAATAACAAATGACCTTAGTACAAAGTCTTCCTCTGGTAAATGTATGATGTTTAATCAGCATCATACAACTACATACAAATATATTGTGAACTTGTAGTAAGCCGAATAAAGGAAGTTCAATATAACTTCCCAGCAACACATAGCGGAAGTTAAGCTCGGTGAAATCTAACTTGCAAATAGGTTTTCCACTTGCATACAACTTGAAAGAAAGTGATTTAATACTATTTACCAGAGGGAGACTTTGTACAAAAATCGTTTGCTTGGGCACCTCTGTCCCATTCGTGTTTCTACCGCGAAGCAGTAGTATTTACATGGCTGTATTTCGGTTTGAAAGTTGGGGTATCGCTGAGATATGGCTTGAACTTACTGAGTACAGAGGAACAACACCGGAGTCCTCAGGAATGGCAACACATGGGGGATATCATGGGGAAACAGTATACTCTATTATGTCCATGGTACTGCTCATGTCTATACGCGACGGTTACCACTTTCCATTAGGTGGGTCGTCAACTTGTTTGTCATTAAAAAAAAAAAAAATATTATATTATAAAATTTTGCTATGCGAAATAACACGGCGACGTCATTTGTAATAAAATTCATACAAGATCAAGATCATACAAGACAAGGAAAGTAAATTTTATCAATTTAAAAAAAAAATCATCAACATCGCTGTAAAATTGAGATAGATATTGCGTAATAGATACAGTGGAAAAAACACAAACAATTTAAAAATCTCTTCCATTATGAAGCCAATTAAAAATTTAGAGCCCAGAAATAATAGAACCTAGTATGGTAAAATAGCCCGAGGTCCTATACGCATATGCCCTTACTGTAGAACTGGACAAGTCGCTAGAGGACAACACCACTGGGACAAGTTGATCACCAACTATCTTGGAAATAAGTGTTATTTCTGTATGACTACCGAAAAAACTGTAATACTTTTATGATTCATATACATGTGTTTCTCTATTCTGCCCTATCTTCTAAATGCCTCAACCGATTTTGAATTGTATCTCTAGAGTCCTTACATCATTTCGAGTGACACTAGCAAATTTTTTTCAAATAGTTATTCGCACTTTCAAATTCGTGGAGCAGAATGTGCTACTAAATGTTTTTCTGTGATTTCCAAAAAAATCTTTAGAACATCACTGACCTGCGCAATTTGATCGAACCTCCCGAAAAGTTCGTTCAGCGTTTTGACCAAGTCAGAAGCGCTCAGCCGTTCCGACAGTGGCGTGAAGTTCACTATATCCGCATACAGAATGCTGACGTTATTGTGCCTCTGCACATGCATCTCGTGGAATCTCGTCTGTTTGGAGCTGTCTACACACGCGTCCGCCATCTTGAGCATTATAGATCGTTTCGCCTGGAACAAGAGATTAAATTAAATTTCCTTAGAAAAAAAAATTAACTAAACTTAAATTTAAACATTTTTAAGTACTCATTATTTCATCCAAGAAGAACAAGCAAGAAACTTAGCTGTTACTTTTTTCAAAAAGTTGAATTATATAAATTATGAATTTGCATAAATACAAACTATTAAGCAGTATCATATCAAAAATATCAAAAAAAGATATAATTACAATAAATTAATAAAATTAATCAGTTGCAGTGACAGATCTGACCAGTCCTACGTCATAGCAGTACCCGTTCAATGAGTACGACGGATGAGTCTGCCATGATTATGCTCAACCATATTTTAGGGAAATCGATAACCCACCACTCCACCACCTATCTGGACTTTTAGTAAGCATGGCTGACTCAAAGCACTCAACTACGTCATAGCTAAATTAAAATAACTTTTCGACAAAACAATATCGGGGCACCGATGATAAAACGATGAGGTAAAATCCAGGTCAATTAGAGCGTCGTAGAGAATTCACTATAAATTAACCACGAGGGTTTCCGTAGGGAACCAGATAAAGGTCGACTAGATAGGCCGGCAAAGATGACTAAATGAACATCCTCATTACGACGATCTCTTACCCCAATCGGCGCACATTCATATGGGCAATAATCAAAAGAAAATACCGAGTCGTAACTCGGAGTTTTCTGCTAGTACGTACAAATAATATATAAGGGGGGAAAGGGATTGTTAGTAATGGAGATTGAGAATCCCATTGCTAGCAATATACCCAATCAGGTCGATCTTGCGGTTCCCCCTGGAAACTATCATGATTAATTCCTGATGAATTCATCATGATGGGCTAACTGGCCTGTTTTCATCCTCATCGATCGCCCTTCACTGGTGCCCCGCCAGCGTATTCCGTTAGCGTAGGCGGGGCTACTATTCCATTTTCTATCAATAAAAAAATAATAATATATAAGTAGTATAAAAAGAAATAGGCAAGTAGGTCTTTAAATATCTTTAAATTTTTAACCTAGACCCAATTACCTACTCTGAAAAACTAATTAGGCGATATTAATATACTTGGTACAACTTTAGTTAAATAGTACGTTATCACGCGATATAGGCACGTATGTTTATGTAAGTAGATATACCCAATACAAATCTCAGTTTTAAAAGACAACAATAAACATACCTAATAAAACTCGAATATCTGTCGTTGGCAAATTTAACGCGAGAATCAAAGTATAGGACTTCTTGGGACTTTTATTATAATTAACTGCCAGATAAACACATAAAACTTCAGAAACTAATGAACTTATTTCTTATTTTAAAACCTTTTTATCATTTTTCATATACGATTCTGGATATCGACAATTTAATGACCTAAATGCGTTTCCGAAAATTGTTTTTCTTTATCCGGAAGTCTTCACGGGTTCTGGAACCGCCCGCTGTTCCAAACGAGATGTTAAGCATCATATTCATCCTGATTAAGATTTCTGGATATAATCGAAATAATTGTCGGAATCGACAAACACTATACGTTCATTAAACTCCCGATATCCGTATTTCTTTATTAGTAAAAAGCTGGAGATATTGCCGGAATCACAGATTCTTGGCGCAAGAATGTCTTAAAAACTGTGAAATAGAGATATCACGTAAAAGACAGTTTCTTGATATAAAAATGTTTCAAAAAAGGGATCATAGGATCGCAAAAATCCCCCTGCGAACATAATTGTCTCTGTACTTTGTACAAAAGTCATTTGCTTGTGTACCTCTGTCCCATTCGTGTTTTTACCGTGAAGCAGTTGTGTTTGCATGGCTGTGTTTCGGTTTGAAGGGTGGGATAGGGCAGTGAATTTACAGGGTACAGAGGAATAATACCTGAGTCCTCAGGAATAGCAACGCATGGGGGTAATCATAGGTGAAACAGTATACTCTGTTATGTTCATAGTACTGCTCAGGTTTATAGGCGACGGTTACCAATTTCCATCAGGTGGGCCGTCAGCTTGTTTGCCATTCTAAGTTGCATATAAAAAAAAATGTAGATATGTATTCTTATAAAGATTGTCATTATTAAAAACGCCAATAGTTCACACAGTTTACGTATTTGACGTAATGTTGTAGTTTCCGTAAAGGAAGCAATTGTTCAACGTGATTGTTTAAATTGAGTGTCAGAGCAATTATTTTCCTTCGTAATAGTTACGAAAGAGCGATTTCGCTGAAATTGTAAGCGTGTCTGGAAATGTATTTAAAATATTAGATATCCGATATTTTAATTAAATAATTAGCTTTAAAGATAAAGGGATCTTAAATTAGTATAAAATGAATTTTATACTCCGTTTTCGTTCTCGAGTTTCTGAAACGATTTCCATTATTTGCTGATTTTTCATGGCTTCGGATAGTGGAACCACAGAATTCTTATTTACATATTTTTTTTTAAATTACTCTCACAAGAACCAAGCAAATGATGCGACTATATCGGTTCTTATTTGTTTATTTATTTTTATAAAATATAACAAAAAATTTACGAATCTACTATGTTTTCGCGCGCTACGAGACGAGATGCTGTGACGTAAAGCTTTGCTTTCTGAAGAAGACTTCCGGACGAAGCAATTGTCGGAAACGACAAACATAGTAAATTTATAAAATGTTCATCATATAAACATTTACTTAACTTTGGCTTTTTTCAACTCTTTTCACTATTTCAGTTATCTATCGTATCAGTTTTTAATAATAATAATAAACTCTTTATTGCGCACAAAAGAGATGTATATATGAGTATTTGTACAGAATGTGCATGTATAAAAAACGGCCTTATCGCTACAAGCAATCTCTTGTTTAAGTATTTCTTTACAGCATACGTCCATCCTGTACTTTAGCATGCGGCCCACTTGTCCGCTCTAGTGTTTATACTTTTTGTAGTAAATCAACAATTATGATGGTGTACGACGTTATTGATTTGATTGTTCTATTTTAGTCCTGATATATTTTATATATTGAATTATATATGAATATATATATACATATATATATATATATATATATATATATATATATATATATATATATGTGTGTGTGTGTGTATATATGTATATATATTGTTATAGTAAGTAGTTTAATAAATTATATGTATTTGATATTTTTGTGCATTACATGTTTTTGTATTTTATGCACGAAAATTATTAATTCACTCTTGCGCCACCTGCCCATTTCTATCTGTTCTCCTTTAACTAAAGGTTGTCTGTAAGAGATTGCCATAGCGATAAGACCACCGTTTGTACCTTTTTGTGTATATTTCAATCTGTATTTATGTTACTATATTTCACTTGAATTATTCACTTGTCATTGTATATTTTTATTTATGGTGCAATAAAGAGTTAAATAAATAAATAAATATTTTTTTTATATCTTCACCCATATGTAATTAAGATTAGGAAAAAAAATAGTAGATACCTAAGTTACTTGTGGAGAGATTTGCTTGTATTTTCTATGTAGGCGTAACGACAATCTGAAACTTAACAAGTATGTTGTCTAGGTACTAGTATAGTATTTTATAAACTGTGATATAAATATTAATAGATATTTTTTCCATCCTGAGAGAACACAGAGACGACATGATCCATGACACAATCAACCGAAAAGGGAATAATTTTACTCTCAACTGTTGACTGCATTATGCCGGCTCAATAAGTACTTTTTAACGCTACGTTTTTTTTTATAATACAGTAACAAAATAGCATGCGGCTCACCTGCTGGTAAGTGACTATCGCCGCCCATAAACAGCCGCAACACCAAAGGGATTGCAAGTGTGCTGCCGGCCTTTTAAGGAATATGCTCTTTTTTTTAAGGTTACGATGTCGTATCGGTTCGGAAACACTGCTGCTGCTAGTTTATGGTAGCTTGTACGGTGGTGAAAACATTTGAAGGATCTGAGATTACATGGAAAAAGATACACGTCTCGGTAAAAGCCATTCCATACTGTTACAATTCGGTTCCAGGCAACCTTATTCATACTATATGCCAAAGAAAAAGACTTTCATTTGCATCGTTCACTTTGTGGCACATGGCAGAATGTAGTGAAAAACGATAGGAATTTTTGATTGGATAGAAAATACTTGACGTTTGGCTAAAAATCAAAATCCATATATGGCAACCCTGTTTCCTATAGTCATTCAAATAGAATACACAAACATTGAAACTATTTTACTGTTAATATTAAATGAAAAATAGAAAAACATAATGTTGGTGACTCATGTTGCCTATTCTATGAATTTTTAGAATTCCATGAATGATGATGATGATATCAGCCGTTACTGTCCACTGCTTAACATGGGTCTCCCCATATTGGGGGGTTTTTACAGTAGTTGCCACGCTTGGTATTCGTGTTGGCAACCGTAGTTAGACTTTGGTGATGTTTTAGGAGCTACACTGCTGCCCATGTAGTTATTCCTCGGTCATTAGGTGTTCTCGGTCATGTAGAGGGAGGTCAAGGATATGGTCTGGGATAGAACTGGCTGGAGAAAGATGCATGAATTAGTTGCACCAACAAGAGGAAACTCTTAAATGAAAAGAAAGACTGCTGCCCAACCGTGGGCCTTCCTTAGTCGCCTCTTACGACACACACGGGAAAGAAAGGGGTGGCTCATTCTGTACCGGAACCACACGGTAAATCTATGAATGTATGTCCCTAAATACACGGAATATTGAGTCACATTACTTGTAAATTTGTACATCACGATTTTAAGTCGAAAACTCCTGTTATCGTTTGAAAATGCCCTCCATTCAAACATATTTACGTTACCAATTATACACAGTATATTTGTAGGTTATTACACTTTTATGTGGAACAAGAGAAAGTAAAGATGTTACAGTATAAATATTGTTATAATACAAAATGAAAATAGGTAAGTAGGTGGAGAGGGAGACTTTGTACAAAAGACCTCACCAGAGGGAGACTTTGTACAAAAGTCGATTGCTTGGGTACCTCTGTCCTATTCGTGTTTCTACCGTGAAGC